GTAGTCGACGGGCACAAAGTTATTATACAAATAATTTCTATTTCATTGAAGCTGCGACTTTAACGCGAGAGTATTCTTACACGCGTCGTGTTATTTCGTCGTGCGGTGCTTGGCATTCGTTCAGCTCGTTTCCCACATTCGCGGCGTTACGACTGCGAATTTCGAAATCACGCGAGTCCATGTGTCATCAACAGCCACTTATGCTCTCGTCTTTCGGCCGGTTGATCTTAAACAAACCATAAATTGTTCGCCGCGAATCCAGCCGTCCCGTCGTTGCCTGGAATAACGTAAGAATGGCGGTGACGCGGTGCTGAAACTCAATCCGTGGAATCGAGGAGAATGGTCCCTCTACCGTCGCTTAAAATAAACACGCGCGATCTTTAAGCGTCGTTTCATGCTTAACTTTATTATCACTTACACCGATAATCCCGGCAGTTTAGAGAATTCCAAGAGAGATCTCAGCGATCTCGTTGTGCGAACTAGAAAATTGTTGAAGCTTTACGAAAGGAACGACTCAAATTAATGATAATTAATTATAATCAAAGCTACTTCGTTTGGAAATTATATCGACTCGGAAGTAAACTAATCAGCCACGGAAATAATAATATATTATATACATATATATATGTGTGTGTGTGTGTGTGTGTATAATCTCCTTTAAGTCTTATGAAAAGTAATCACTCAAGCGATTAAATCAAAACTACTTCGTTTTAGAAACTACATCAATTGGAAAGTAAATTAATTAGTTACGAAAATAATGCATGATGTATGTATATGTATAATATATCCTTTTTAAATTTTATGAAAGGAATGACTTGAAGGTTTAAATCGGAACTACTTCGTTTACAAATTACATCAATTAGAATCAATTGCGAAAATTATGTATAATATATATATATATGTATGTGTAATGCTGTTTGAGTTTTATGAAAGGAATGACTTGAAGGATTAAATCGGAACTACTTCGTTTAGAAATTACATCAATTAGAATCAACTGCGAAAATTATGTATATAATATATATGTGTAATGCTGTTTGAGTTTTATGAAGGGAATGACTTGAAGAATTAAATCGGAACTACTTCGTTTAGAAATTACATCAATTAGAATCAACTGCGAAAATTATGTATATAATATATATGTATAATGCTGTTTGAGTTTTATGAAAGGAATGACTTGAAGTATTAAATCGAAACTATTTCGTTTCAGAAATTATATCAACGTAGGAAGGTAAACTAATTAGCTGCAAAAATAATGTATAATCTTTAAACAAATAGCCGCTATTTTAATCAATTTCACAGCTTGAAATCAGGTCTCCAAGTTCGACTATCAAATCCAAATCACTGCCACAGTGA